TGGTGTACAAAAGGCTACAGCTCTCTTACGAAGTTCAAGCCTGCCTTTCAACCACTTAAGGCAGAACAGATCACCTTCCTTTCAGGGCCATGGGATTCACAGATAAACAAATTCATAGACAAAACTGATGTGGAAGAGCTGTTGCTAGTGGACATAGAGCAAGGGCTTAAGTAACCATCACTGCATTTCAGTGACTGCCATAAAAAGCATCTTGCTTGCAGAATCAACTTTAGCATTCTGTTCCTGTCCTTCAAAAGACACATTTAATCTCTGGAAGTCCAAAAGACAGATTTTCGGCACTTTCTGAGATGAGCAAGAATCCTGTCTTGCTAATTCTCCACTATGTTTGTTTAATTTTGAAGGAATAATCTTTTAATGACTTAGTACCATTCAGCCTCCTTCCCACCCGCTGCCCCACTCCGTGGGCTGTCAAGGCATCTGAATAGAGCCTGGGGCCTCAGATCCTGCAAGATTTCAAGCTTAGGGATTTTAGAAACATCCAGGAAGAGTTGTGACCTGGACTCTTGCAGAACAGTTAGTCTCCCTTTGCCTCTTAAGGGTGTAGGAGGCTTTCCAGCGCCAGCTGCCACCAGCAGTCCAGGCATGCTTATCTGACACTCCTGTCACCTCCTAAAGTCTCCCTCCTATAGTCTGGGAACCCCTCTGAAGCTACATCTTTGCAAGCTTTCAAATTTAGCTTCCAGAGGATCAAGACAGCCAAAACAAATGAATGGTTTCTTACAAAGTGTGTGCTACACTTAAAAGAAAAATAAATCCACATTACTCGGACACATCTCTACAAGAATATCAACTATCTGCAGGCAAAATGTCTTCCCTGTAGTCCCTTTCCTCATGACTACAGGACAATCCAGTCACTCTCTACCTCACTGTTCCTGCTTAATCTTCCTGGCAGCGAATGACTGCTCCTACAGCCTCTCAAGAGAGGTATCTGAAACCAACCTAGACTTGGAATCCTCTTTCAGGGACAACTTCAAAGTACCACAAGGCAACTTGTGGTTTAGCAAAAGTCATAACACTCTCAAATTAACTGGAGAAAAATTAATTCCCTGTGCTACAGCCATCTTCCTGGTGTAAACTCCCCTGCACTGGAGCCCTCTTGACAGCTCTCCTCCTGGTAAGATCCAACCCTTGCAGCCAACAGAGGGACAAATACAATGAAGTGCTCAAGCTCCAAGCTGCATCCCAGAGCCCCACTGCACAACAAACAACACAGTACAGCTTGCAGCAAGACCCCCCCTGGCAAGTTTCCATTCCACAGACCTCCTAAATCAAGTACATTTACAGGGATATTTTTAGTCCCCCCACTTCCATTACTGATCATCATGACTAATCGCAATAACAAGGGGAACACCCAAATGCACCTCAGGATTAAGATTTTGTCTGTATTTTCAGTTTCAGGACTGCTCACATCTCAGATCTGCTCCTGTCCCAAATATCCCTTAAGGCTCTGCTGCCCATCAGCTATTCCTCACCTTCCTTAATCACACAACACATTTCCTCTCCACCCTTAACAGCATTTCCACAGTACTTTTGTTTTCCAGATACCATCTTCAGCAGTGTGGCTTTCAGTTAAATCTTTTGTTTAATATTAAAGCCCTTTTCAAATATTTAATATGAAATTAACTTGAATCCAACTGGGGAGAAAACAGAAGGATACACTGGTTTAGCGAAGTATTATTTCAGACAAGTAAAAGACACTGAATGAAGATTTTTAAAAGGAGCAACCCAAGAAATCTTCTATAAACTGAAAAAAAAAGAAACACAAGGATGAGAAATTTTGTATACTGGACAACTTGTGGTTGGATCACAGGCAAAGTAAATCAGGACCTTGATAACAAAATTTCAACCCCAAAATATTTTTCTTTCTACTGCTGTAAAACTCCATGAGATAACTGGCAAAGGCAATTTTCCACAAATCTGTAGCACAAAAGTGTACACTTTGAATATTGAACTGACATATTAGAGATTATTAACCTTTCCCAACAATACAAACTCTCCACAGAAACTGAGAAATCCCAAAGGATAAGTCCAGCTAACTAGTGGAACATCTCAGGAAAGCTAAACCCATCACCCATCTCCAAGTACTTACCACAACAACATTCCTGTAAAAAATTCCACAGCACATAATTCCAACACAAGCTCTCACTCAGAAAATGCCGGTAATGAGAAATCAAACAGATGAAAGGCTACTGTTAATTGAGTGTTTAAATTGGTCATCCTGCCTTCTGTGACCTGTATCTAAACCCCTCCTTAAAAGTTCAGGAGTTAAACTTAAGTAGATATTATGTCAGATTTGCTATGTTACAATATTTATGTTTTAAGCAGTAATGATATGTATTAAAATCTCAGTAGCTACAGGCAATGAATCTGATCTTTACTGCAGCTTCCACAGCAGACTAATTACATGAATTCAGTGAACATACGCAAGGTTAAAACTTCCATTACTCCAAAGCATAACCCTGAAAAGGACATGCAGCCTCTTTATCCCCTCACTGATATCAGCACCAAGAGGATTTCCTAAGAGGGTGGGACTGTTGACAGTACTGGCCTAAGACATCAACCTCTACTGCCCAGCAGCCAAGAGCCTGCCCAGGTCAACACTCTGCCTTTGAAGGATGCAGTACTTTGGTGTTCTCCATGTGGAAGAAGCCAGGAGGGCCCCTGCTTCCGAGGGTTAGAAATATGGAGAGGGATGCTAAGCTGATGTATCCTGCTCTTTCTTACTGATTCCAAACTGCAGTCCAGGTTGCTAGACCTACCCTCCAAGGCTGGTCCCAGAGGGTCTCTGGGTCTCAGCCATAGTTTACCTGTGCTTTTGCACCTGCACAACCCTTGATTATCAAACCCTTATTACAAACTAATGAACTCTGCAAAGTGCCTCATTCTCCATGTACTTCACCACAGCTGAACTTAACAACAAGCAAGCTTGTTTGAGAGCGATTGGAAAGAAGAGTTTGGCAGGGACTTGTCTCATGGGTTATTTTCCAGGTTCCCCAAATGGTGGGGAAGAGGAGGAAAGCTCCTTATCTGTTCTCCTAATTCTCCAAATGCAAAGGTGTCTTTCTCATGTTCCCTTGACATGTTCATTTCAAGAACTCATACTTAGCTGTCATGTCAGCAACAACTCAAAGCAGAAACTTAATTCAGCTAAAATGTAAAAAGAGATCTGCTTGTGGAAAGATCCCTCTTTCCATAGAGAGTAAGAGACTCTTTCACTCCACCTTCAACAAACAGATTGGCTTGCCACTCAAAAGCACTGTACCGATCCAACTGTTCCCACAAAACAAGCCTAGAACATCTGCATCTTTGTAGTAGCTCCTTCCTGGAAATGGAAGACAGAGCTGCCTTATCTCAGGAAAGGGAAGATAAAAGGTCACTCTTCAATAAGTGGCAAAATTCTCACCTTGAAAGCTTTGCCCCTTGATTGACATGGAACAACCAAGGTCATGGAACTTTTAATCAGATGCCTGCATAATTACTAAATCGTTATTAATTATATCAGAGAGCCAAGACCTCAGAGGAAAGGCAAAGCAAACAAAGAACCCAATGAAGCCTCCTCTGTTGTTGGAGAAAATTGGTAATTAAAAGTCATGAGTGCACCAAAGGATGAGGGAACAGCATCACAGTCACTGTTCAGGACTCAGGAGTGACTTGCATACAAAACAGCAGGCTCATCTCCCTGGGGAAATTACAGGGTACTGCATTACAAAGCAGTGAGGAGGGACAATAAGGAAATAAAAGACAGAGAAAGGCCACTCCTGTCTTATCAACAGCTTTATTTGCCCCACAGAGAGGGACAGCACTGCCAACCAGCCCCAAGGTTGAGAGGTGTTTCCACATGTTTCTGGCAGCTCCAGAAAGCCTTCTCTCAGCCTTGTATCATGAAGGGTTCCAATACTGTGCAGTGCACAAAAGAATGACACCTTGTCCTCGCCCAATCCAGCCCACACACAGCCCTCGCCCAGAAGCCCCTGCCAAAGACTATTCCAGCATAAAGCCTTTATTTCCCTCAACGTCCTGAGCTCAGCCCTAGCGACTACTCTCTCCTCAGAGGCTGCCTTTCAAAATATCTCTATGAAAAACTGAAGAATTTCACTCTATCCTTAAAAAAAACCCCAAAACTCAAAAGAAGACAGAATGTCACAGTCCTCCTTACACCATAATAAATCAAACTAGGTAGTCATGATCCCCCCTGAAACCAAAGCAAGTGCTTTTGCTAATCAGGCTACGAGAAGACAAAGGCTGATCTGTTCCCATACCAATAATATAATGCCAGCTCAGAGCACTGAGACATCAAAGATGGCATTGGATGGAAAAAGGCAGCATATTATCCACCACCATTTGCAGGCAAACACAAGAATCTCTCTGATCTGCTATATAGGCAGTCTTATAGACCCAACCCCAAAGATGACCATATGCAAGACGTGCCAAGTCTGGGCCAAACCCCTGGAGAAATGGGTTCAGATATATTATGAGACTGTAGCAAGAAGAATATTCTCATGCACTCAGCCCTCCCAACACACAAAAAGTGCAAAATACCAGAAGCCCAAAGAGAACAGTTTGTAAGTCCCAGAGATCAGAACAAAGAGACATTTTCTACTTCACTGCTTCAAGCACAATGACTCAAAAAGACATATCTTCAAGATACTCTCAATAACAAAGCCTTCCCTTTAAAACATGAGCAAGAAGGAATAAAGGATAATGGCACCAGAAGCAATAATGCAATTTGTGGGACTCTACCACTGAATAAAAAATTAATAACCAACAAGCTCTGGCTAACTGCAGCCATTTCATTATGCCTCACTTTGACAGACCTGAATCTAATAAACTTTTATTGAAGTGCATCTGGTCCTTTTTTATCCCTTTTCTGACCTTCCATTGCTTGCCACTGCAATGAACTTTCACTGCTGCAACCTTGTCATGGCACTGTTTCATATTGCTGAATTCAAGGCACCCAACCCCCTGTGAGAGTACTTTACCTGTTGAATATATCACCAGACACCTTTTGCAGGTACTGAAGTGCATCTGCCACCTGCTGAACAGCCTCCTCCCTGCGTAAGTCCGGTTGGATCAGGGGGACTGAGTATGTCTGCCCCTCCAAAAAGTGCTTCTGGGCTACTGCAGCCATTGTACCTAAGGGAAAGAGGAAAGAGATCATTATTAAACACACTTCCATTTTATCACAGCATTTATTCAGGGACTTCCACTTTCTGCTCCCCTAATTATTTTAGGAAAGCATTTGCAACAGAATTGGTGAGCTGTGGAGAACAGTACAAGTAGTAAGGTTGACATATTGGATTTTTAATAAATTCATGACAGCCGCAGTGAGGTGGAAGTCTCTTGCTTATTTGAATGCTCTTGGGAACCATAATTTTATTTTTTGCATGCTACTTAACAAATCTCTGCTCAGTACTGTGCTGAAAACAAAGACCACATTTCAAAGGAAAGTCAGTTCAGGGTGGTAATAAGACTCATCAGAAACTGCTCTGTCCCTTCCTCTCATTCTCATATTCCCTGTGGATATGTTCCAGGTCATTCAGCCTTATTGGCAAAATGCAGTATTTCATTTTACACTTCTGCTCCATGAAACACAACCACCACTTCCTTCCAGGAAGAGCATGCAAGTGCACACACCCCCTTGCTCCAAGTAGGCTAATGGGAGTTCTTCCATTCTGACACTCCCAGGAGCTGTTTGCTGCTTCTGGTGGCTGGATTTTTCCTTAGTAACTATCTTAAAAGAAGCCTCCTTATTTTAGGATCCTTTTAGGTACAAAACCTAAATGGTCACTGACACATTTCAGTTGTGTGTAACACATGCACCAGAGCAGTACACGTGCTCTCAGATGCAGCTGGGCCCAAACCACTGCTCTGTAGCTCAGCCAGGAGAAAGCCATGCATCACTCATGTTACCATCCCGACAGCCTTGCTCACCTCTCTCTCAGCAACTCCCAAAAAATCTGCCTCCCATGGTTTTACTCACAAAAATCACAAAAACATTCCCAGGACATGAAGGAGGGTAAAGAGAAAAAAACTCAATTTCTCTAAGCACATTAGAAACTGCAAACTCACAAATACATCACTGTTAGGACAGTCCAAAGAATGAACAGAGTAGAGTATCCATACAGTTTTCTAACCCAAACTCTACTGTTAGGTCCACACAACTCTCTTCAAACTTGTTTTTTCTGTGTCTTCTCACTCAGGCTGTAAAAACCCCACAGATTACAGGTGCTCATTACAGGGTTTCATCACACAGAGTGCTGTACATCAGTATAAGAAAGTATTCATTAAGATGAGGAGAAGCAAAACAAAGAAGGATCAAAAAACAAGGCATCAGAAACAGACAAGGATATCTCAGGACACACCACATTCCCTGTGTGATACCTGGAGTTCTGCAGGAGCTAATCCAAAGAGCACTGCTGTGTGCAACCTGTATTCCTGCCTGTATACTAGGACAGACTAACACAGAAACACAGCCCACACTGGAGAAATTCACAGAACAGGAGCCTGAAGAGACAGTCACAACATAAAACAACAGTTTAATATGTGAAAATTAGAGGAGTCTTCAGTCATTCTTTAAATCCTCTATCTTGCTTCACAAAATGAAGAGATAACAGATTACACTTGCCTGAGGCCATTCCTGTACATTTAAGAAACACCATCCACCCTCTCCAAATTTGTCCTTCCTGATCCTACCACAGCAGGGTAGGGAAAGACTTTCTGTAAATGTGATGCAGTTGTTATTTTAAGGGCGATTTTTTGGGGACGCGGGGTTTTTTTGGGTTGTTTTGGGGCTTTTTTGGGTGTTTAATAATGAATCACATGAGATTTAAGGACACCTAGTAGCCTTTTTGCAGTTAAATTCGCAAAACCAAGCCTAGCCAGCAGAAGAGCTGGCTCTGCTGTAGGAAGCCTAGACCTATTCTGTTCCATTTCATGCATCGCTGGCAGCCAGACTGTGTATCCGCACTCTTTAGCGGCAATGTTTGCACACTGATTAGTCTTCTTGACTGGGCCTACTCAGCAGACAGGAAATTATTATTTAGAGCTGTAAAGCACACAAGTTAATCAGAGAGGAGCACAGCTAATTTTGAGACGGCATTTTTTTGATCTGCTGACCACAATCGAGCTCGAATCCTCTTCCTTTCAAATCTCTCCTGTCTGACTGTCAAGGCGGAACAAAGCGAGCACACAACGGAGCGAGCGCACGGTGATGAGTTACTCTGGCTCCAGCAGCAAAATGAGTTTATGATCCTCCCTGCCACTGGTCACAACTCTTCCGTTGCATCAATGCTGCTCATGCTGGGGATGCCTATTTTTAGCTCGGATCAGTTCAATGACCCAATTTGCTGCAGCCAGATAAACAGCTGTAATTGCCCAGTCATGAAGCAGAGTGGGAAGCAGGGGCAAAAAGGGGACTTCTAAAACTTGCTTCATTATCGAAACCATTCCTGTGCCATGGTAATCCTGAGAAAGCCAAGCTTTTCACCTCTTGAGGCCAGATGAGATTATACATGATCTCTCAGACTCTCACCAATCCTAATTCTCCCAGTGACCTTTCTAAAGCCAAGCTCAGTTCAGCTGCTGACTGACAGATGCTCACACATGGAAGCAGCACATCCATAGCTACTACCAAACTGTTTCTTTCCCTGCAATCAGAAGCTACAGACTGTCCTCCAGGTCCCACTGCTCCCCTGCAAACAGAGGAGCACACAGCAGCGGGCAAAACAGGAAAATCCCTGTGTGCTCCTGCTCACACTGTCAGAGTTCATCTGACAGTAAACTTCAGCTTCACAGGTTCTCAATGCAGCCTCTCAGTTGAGCTCCAGATTCTCACCCTTCCTAAAAAAAAAAAACACATTGGAGAAATGTGGCAGACTCTTTGGGAACTGCTGTAAGAGACAAATACAAGAGATAATTCTTTCTGTGCAAGGAAACGAGCTGGAGATTTATAGCAAGAAGAGGAAAAACAGCAACACCTGAATGACTAGGTTCAGTCCAGAATGCTGGAATTACGGCAGCTGACATAAAATACTCAGATGCTACAGTGAGAGAGGGGTACATGTGCCCAAAGCAAGTATGATTCACGAGAGCAGATGTCAGATCACTCAAGAGATTTAATCATTAGTGGTGTGACTACCTATGGGTCAGAAGAAACAGCAATACAGAGCTTTTTATTTTTTTTGGTGATCAAAGAGGCTCTGGAAAAAAGCTGCAGCATCTGGGGCTCCATCCTCTCTTTATTCAATTATTTTTTCTGTGTCAACTTCCATGATCAAGACAAATGTGCTCTGGTGTTATATAATAACCTCATTTACCTTATTAAAGTGTAAACAAAGAGAAAAAGGTTGTTTTCTCACTGCACCACCTGCTTCCAAGTGCTATATCCTGATCTGGAAGCTCTGACTAAAGTTACCAACTGCTCAGATTTGCACTTCTGCCTTTAAGCTGTCTATCCTTTCACCTTAGGCAAGTTGGTGCAAAGCTCATCAAGGCTGGTGGCTCTCCCTCTGCTTTCAAAGCTGCTCTTTCCCTCTCGATTCCAACACACACACTGAGCAAAACAACAGCAGCGGGAAATGCAAAATCAGCCTCCACCAGACTGTCTTGCCTTTCCAAAAGACTTCAAACCAGGACAGATACGGGCTGAGCACTCCAGGGTTTTCAGGCATCTGGAAACAACAACTGGTGTTACTGTTGAATCATTCCAGCCAAGTGTAATACTCTGATGGCTGTGTAGAGATTTGTAGCTCTGAACCTGGAAAACGAAGTACAAAATTCACTGCTCTGGATAGGTAGAGAAAGATTCCACCTACTTTGCTCACCTCTTGCGTTACCTCTCCCTGGACCTAAGAATAAAACTTCTTATATTAAGGCTAAGCCCAAGAGAACTTCTCACAGAGCAAACAGAGTCTGTAAAAGAAGCAACACTTCCCAAAGTTCTTGAGAAAATGTTGCACTATGGAGGATCAACCACTGAGGTGATTATCTACAAACAAAAAAAAGATCCCCGCAATCTTAAAGTACCTTATTTTTTCAAAGGAACATAAACAAAGGCAATATCAAGAAAACAGTTTGGCTCTCCTCAACACAGGCAGGCTGTAAATCTACATACAAGCACTTACCAGATGTGTACTTTGTTATGAAAATAAAGGGAGAATAAGGCAAGCCATCAACAATACCTGCTTTCTTAACATGCTTCAAGAGACTAAAAAGAGAGGGCTCAGGGGAGAAGAGAGATTAAATACTTTGAAAACAAAATCAGTGTGTATTCTTCAAAGCTACAAAGGCTGCTTTAGCAATTACTTGCTGCTGCTTCTGTCCCTGCACTGGAAAGGCAGCATGAATTAGAGGCCTTTAATTCCCACAGGCAGTAACATCTCCAAAAAGAAGTGTGAGGTTGTCTCTAGCCCTGTGTCTCTCCTTTGTAGGATCCTAATAAAAGATCAGTGCCTTGTAGACACCTGTGAGGATGCAGAGACCAGCAACATGCAATAAAACCCAAGTCTGCACAGCCCTCACCACACACCACTACACCACTGCCACCAGTATGGTTCCACAGTGGGAACAAAGCCACAAGTGAGCTGCTGGTTAAGATTAAACACACTCAAACGATGGAGCAGAGACAGGTTTTGGGCACAGCTTATCAGAAAATGCTGCCTCCTCTGACAGAGGAAAGTCACACCTGTTACTTAGTTCACAGTGAGAAGTCATCCCGAATTCCTCACTGACCGTAACTTCTTACACATAACACTTTCTACCACGTTCACCTGGACAAATGTTTTCCTGTGCTGGCTGATAATAACAGACCTCTGTTATCCTCACTTTCCTCTGCTCCAGTCCAGTGTGCTACATCAGCTCACTGCTCACAATACCCGACTGTGGCTTTTAGAGCTCCAAAGGCTCCCAGTTGCTACAATGTCTGTTGTATGTCACATCCCAAACTTCTACTACTGTGCACTTAACTATGGCACTCTCTAGTACTGTACTTAATGGACTACTACATCATCCTCATTCCCTACTTTCTTCATGGGCTTCCAACAAAATTTCATGGTCAAATCTGCTTGTGTATTCAAGTCATTCCTTGGTTACCCTAGAGGCTTGCCTAGAGGCTATCCCGGAAAAATATCAGAATCAAATCCTCCAAGGAAAGAATAATAATAATAAAGAAAGATAATTGTATCACCTTGCCCTCCACAGATAAAACACATTCCTGTGAGTTTACCAGCTGCAAAGCCAGAGAACCATATTTAAAAAAAGAGACTTGAAGTCACAGAAAAGCAAAACACGTCATTGCACATCCTCCTCCTGTTAAGGGGCAGGACAAGGCAGTGTGTGCATATGCACTTGCACAGATGTAGACACACAGCTGGAACAAAAGCTACAAGTTTCTCATGCTCTGGCTGTAAATGCAGCAAAAGAGCCTCGACATAAGTCCTATTTTATTGCGCAGCAAACGATTGCTCTGCCCTGTGTTGACATTCACTGGAGGGGTCGAAATTTAGTCCTCCAGCAGAGCACACAAGAGGTAACTGGTGTCTCCAGCAGTGAGATGAGAGGTTCACCACAGTCCCTGTGCTAAGCCAATTTTAGGTTTTTTGGGGTAAGCAAGGCAGGGGGAGGAGAGAAGCACTTTGATAAGTTAAGAGGATGAAAAGTCTATTTATATTTTTTAATTAAGCATGTTCTACAGTGTTATTAAGCAGCAATCAAAGATGCAGATGCTACTGATTTGATTGGCAAGAAGTACGCTGTGATGAATATTAAGGAACTCTGCCCCTATAAATAGGTCTAATCACCATCTGAAGGCTGGAAGGCAGTGAGGAAAGAAAGCATTAATAAGACCATAATTAGGCCCCATAGCAGGCTGTACTCCACCAGGGTGCTCATGTTACTAGACGTGTCTTATAGTAGCAGCCTCAAACTCCACTGTAGACATTACTGCTTTGGGTCTCAAGACCTCTAGTAGCTATTTTAGATAAAGCTAAGAAGAGTGGGGTTTCTCCATCTTTGGAGGGCCTGGCATCAGTTGGGATTTTACATCCCAGTGCCATTTCTGGAGCAAGAGAGCTCTCCATTCCAGCTGTCCCTCCCCGCCCGCTTTCAATGAGTGAATTAAACTGAGGAGCTGGAGTTCCCCAGACACAGAGATTGGAAAAGGGTGCAGGAAACTAGAAAGCTTTAGGAACCATCCCTCTCCCTCCCTCTCAGCCAGCAAGAGTACATCATGGCCACATCTACATCACAACACTAACTTAGCCACAGCTGTAAAAGCCATTTCTGCTCCTCTGCTCCAGCTTTAGAGACACTCAACCTCACACTTTGAGCCTATCCATACTGTATTCCACCACCAAAGCAGCCTCACCTCATTTGTCCCAGCAGCAGCTACAGGAAAAGAAAAACCTTTTTCTGCTGCACTAACAGCCCAGTGGTATAACACCATGGTTTCTCCATACCCAAAGGGTGCGGAATTACTGGCACTTACCACATATGCAGAACCTCACACATCTGGGTACCACAAGAACATCCTGTTGCACCACGATGTCAGCTACAGTGCCAGGTGCCTTTTTGTTAGCTGCATCCATGAACTACTGCCAGCCACTTAGTCCAACCCAACAGACCATGGGATCTGCATGAAAGGTACTCCAGGTCCATTCCATTTGAAGTATATGTTTTGCTCAACCTACTGACTCCCAGCACTGTACTAGACACAAGTATTAAGGTAATGAAGATACTTGCTTCTGGAAACAGCAAGAGAGGCTCTGGTATTAAGCTTGCATCTGAAACCAAAGAACTTTTATTTTTCCCCAGTTAATTCCTCAAGTTGGAGAGGGAACACAATAGACAGGCTGCTTTGCACCAAAAGAGCAGCTTACTGACAGAGTTTCTGTAAACTAGGAGCCTGAGAGGAACATGTGTCCCTGGACCACGGGCTGACCAACAAACATCCTTTATCCTGCCCTGCTGCTTCTGGAATAAAATATTATCTGTATGTGACCCTTCCTGAGTTCTCAGAGCTATCAAAGGAAAAGCACTAGCCCGTCAAAAATCTACTTCTGAAAGTAGATTCTCAAGAAGCCAGAGCCTGCTGACACCTTTGGCTCAGACACTTTGCTTTGAAAGAAACAGCAGCTATCACAGGCAAATGAAATCTACCAGCAATATGACATTAAAGCAATGACATTACTGACAGGGAACTAAAGGCACAGGAACTGGATGTTTTCCCACCCACTGCATTACCTCTTGGATCCGGGGAGTGTGGGTCTGAACCAACACAACAACAGATTAGATGATCATTCTCAAATGGAGACTCTCCCTAAAAACTACTCAGAGCCACTTAGATTTGTTGGTTTGTCACATACTGTCCTATTCCACTTCGGCTTAAGAAAAAGAATCAAAATTTGAGATCTCAGAGCCCATCTTTACAATAGCATATGGCAACTCACTGGCAAATTGCAAAATACCTGACATTTAAAGACGGATCAAGTATAATCAAATGATATTGACTCTCCAGAAGACAGAATGCTATTACATTAAATTTTGAAGAGAACCTGAAAGGTAGAGACTTAAAAGAATTTAGAGGCGCACTTCAATCCTCCCAGCTCCATAAGACTGCCTCTGAGCCACTACTGTCCTCAGGACAATCCTCTCAAGGCAGAGATCTGCTTTGAGAAGTACAAACAGCATCCCTCACTGCCATGAGGCACCAAGCTGCATCACCTTGCTGAGAAAGCTCTGTCCTCTAAGCACAGGCTGAAAATGATTTCCTCCAGCTGGATACATAAAGCTCATTTTGATGGACAGATGTTGATATCTTAAGTTAATCAGATAATCCCCTCTGCTACTGTCACCTTTGGCTCTCACCACTAATGGAGACAATCAGATGCTCTAATGAACAATTGATCTGATTCTAAGCCATCTACAACTGACCACAAACACTCTGCTAATTGCCTGCTTTCCCTTCCTCTCACTGCTTATTATAAAAAAAGACTAAACAAATAGCCTAGCTACAGCTACAATACAGACATCGAAAGTAAAGCTGAGAATCCCATCCCAAACATCCAGACAAAGCTCTTCCTTTGATTTCCTAGCTGGACCACTTTGGTTTTGTATGCCTAATGTACACAGGAGCCACTGGTTAAGCCAAAAGTCCCCTGGAGGGCCATTTCCCTGCAATAAGTTCTCTTAAACGCTGGCATTCCAAACCCAGAGTAGATGGAACATTGCTGTAGAGCCTCCTGCAGAACGTCTGGAGCTTCTCATTCTTGCTATCAGACCACAGCAAGAAATACTTACTTCGAAAAACATAGCACTTCAAAAAAAAACAACAAAAAAACCCAGTTAATTTTTTCCTCTAATTTTCTGATACAAAATCAGCTTCAGCCTCCTGCAGAGGACCTTAGCTGCAGACATAACCATTGCCACATCTCTCTGCCACGAACCCTAACTTGCAATGTCCTGTTTTTCACCTCCTGATTCAGTACCCTCTGCTCCAAAGTTCTGGAGATTTACAGCCCCCAGACCCCACACACAGTGTTACAATGGATCCTTTAATGAAGGAAACAACCAAATCAAACTGGCAACCAAAGTAGTTCCTGCCCGTTTTATGCATTCAAAAGCAAAAGGAATGTTTGCACTTCTGGAAGAAGACACGAAGGGAACTCATTATATAAGGAATGTCTTCAAGCCTGTTCACATTTGCTGGAAGGAATATCCCTACAGCGAGGCCTGGATGACAGGAGTTGAAGAAAAGCTGGATCAAAAAAATGATACCTGGATGGACTATTTTCTGGTAAAGGTTACCTTGCAAAGGGGTCTAAGCAGAGCTGATTAGCTACAGAAATTGCTTTTTTGCGTGATAAAAATTATTCCCTTCAAGCTCCTACACCACATCCATGGGAAATATAACAATTTCAGACATAATCCTCTTCTTCCTCTGCACATTACCTTTAATCTAAAAAAATGTTATATAAAAAAAAAAAATCTGCCTTGTTTTCAGGATTATCTCAATATTATATTTCCCCAGCCCTCAATTTCTGTCTTTCTCTTTCACTGCCCAGGCTGAGCTTGCCGTGATTGGTATTACCAGAACCCAAAAGCCAGACTGCAAAGCAGTTCCCAGAAATTCTCTGCTTTCAGTTTTCTGGCCAATTAACTCCTGAGTTGAAAGAAGAGAACAGCACTTTTTATCTGAAGGAATGAAGATTTAAAACTCGGTTTAAATATCCAGAGTGATAGAAGAAGGGCAGATGCTAAGACTAGCAGACTGTGCTGCTCTGGGAGTGCCTCAGGCATTTTTTTCTGCCTCAGGGCTCTGGAAGTGTGGCTGTTCCCCCCACCCCGCACCCCCAACCACACCCTCAAAGCATCCCAGAAATACAGAGGTGTATCAGGCAGCCTCTGCTACTCAGACAAGACAAACATAACGAAATATCAGGAGAACCTGGCAGGTAACCTTCCTAAAATAAAGTCTATGCAAGGAACAGTTGACTGACTGATTCCCCAGAAAACTGACGTGCAGAAAGCCTCTAAAGGACATGCCAAAGTCACTCTGCTTCCAGCCCTTGCCTGTGGCAGGAGCAGCACTATCCGCTCCACTTCCTTTCACTGCTCAGAGAAGGCTTCATATTTGAGAGAACTGGCAAGAAATAGGGGCAGTTTCAGCTTCTCCCTCATCTACCCCAGGATAGGTCAGCCCGGCCTGGAAATCACTGCCAGCAACACCCGCCACACAACCCAAGTGAAATAAATAGGTCAGCTCAGGCAAAGTCCCAGCTGACATTTGCCTGAGTCACATGAAATGCCACAACCACAGCTGGTATTATCCCACACTCCTTGCTGGAAGCTGCACTGTAGAAGTGAGCAGAGTCAAGAATTAGCCTACTCTGCGCAGGGACAAAAAGCCTCCTCTTTGGAAAGAGGCCTTTGGGAAAATCCAGGTGCTGTTCAACCACTCAACACCTGAACCACAACATTCAATAAATAAACAATAACAAAACCAACAAAACCAAACCCAAAAAGAGGAGAGCGGGAAAGCTTGTCACAGGACTTCCACTGATTACTAAAATAAATACTAGACTAAAACAAATACTAACAATGACCATCGCTGCTGGATGTGGATCCAAAATGTTCCCTATGTGCATCAGCAGCCCTTCTTCACGTGTACAGCAAGGTCTAGCAGCCCTGTGGTCTTTTTACTATTGGCTGACTCATTCTTTATTTTTAACACAGAAAAAGATTACTACAATAAATGTAATTATCACAACAGCATTTGGGTTCACTTGTAAACACTGACAATGTGGTTTTTATTTGACAAATCATTACAACAGCACCGCTTTCTCACCCTGGGAGTGAGAAACAAACCCTCGTGCAACTTAAAGGCAATCCATAATCCATGGTACTCCAGGTAGCATGGTACTCCAGGTGCTGACCCCTGAGGGACTGGGAGTTACATTATTTATAATCTTGGCTGTTCTCTGAATTAGCTGATAGTCCACTGTAACCAGTCAGTACCTGGAATAGTACAAAACACCCACAACCCCGTACCAAGCCATCAGCTGACTTGCTGAGGAAAAAAAAAAATCACATAACCCACAACACAGTCCTGTAACCCTCTCTCTTGGACACCTCGTTCTCTGTTTTGTCTGTCCCTTCAGGCTGCAGCATCTCCTGTCCACTCCTACAGGGTACCTGACCTACATGGAGAAAAGGCACAGCCTTGACCATTCCCCAGAGCACTGTGTGGAGCTCGAGAGCCCAGCATGCTCAAGGTTTTCATGCTCCATGCCTGCCTGGCAGGTTTCCCAACCTATGTCATGGCTCAGCATCGAAGCACACCATAAGAATCACAGAAGGGGTCAGGTTGGAAGGGACCACAGTGGGTCAACTAGTCCAACCTCCTTACTCAGGCTGGGCCATCCCTGAGTACATGGCACAGGATTGTGTCCAGATGGTTCTTGATTATCCCGTGAGGGAGACTCCACAACCTCTCTGGGCAATCTGTTCCAGTGCACAGTAAAGAAGCAATTCCTCCTGTTCAGGTGGAACTTCCAGGGCATCAGTTTCTGCCATTGCCTCTCGTTCTACTGCTCGGCATCACCAAGGAGCACCTGGCTCTGTCCTCCTGGCACTCCTTCAGATACTGACAAACACAGAGGAGGTTCCCTCTGTCTGCTCTTCTTGAGGCTGAACAGGCACAGTTCCCTCAGCCTTTCCTCGTAACAGAGATGCTCCAGTCCCTTAATCATCTTTGTTGCCCTGCAATGGACCTGCCCCAGTAGCTCCATGTCTCTCTCGCCCTGAGGAGCCCAGACGTGGGCACAGCACTCCAGATGTGGCCTCACCAGGGTTGAGTAGAGGGGCGGGATCACCTCCCTCAACCTGCTGGCAATGGCACCCCAGGATAACAACCGTAACAAACCACTTCCCTTCTATCCCACCCGAACAGGCGCTGCGTGACTCTCATTCCACAAGCTCTCCTTCCCCAGAGCTCCCCGGGGTTCCCGCCGGGCAACGCCGGTGGCCGCCACACTGGACAGGCCGCGGCCCCGGCACAGCCCTTCGCGGGGGCGCCGCTCAGGCCCAGCAGGGGGGCTCCCACCGGAGCCGGGGCTGCTCTCCGGAGGGAGCTGTCCCGCTGTCCCGCCGTCCCGCCGTGTCCCCCCGTGCCGCATGTCTGAGAGGCGGAGAGCACGGCCCCACGGCCCCACCCACCCCGCGCGCCCCCCGCGGCCCCGCGCGCCCCTCACCTGCTGCGCGCCGGCCACGCCCCGCGCCCCGCGCCGCTTCCGCCCTCAGCCCCGCGTCACTTCCGCCCGGCCGGGCCGCCCCGGCGGGGTCACGGTGGCGGTGCGGGAGGGAATCCGGGAATGTCCTGGGCTGCAAGGGACGCACAGGGATCAGCGAGTCCGACCCCGCACGGGACACCCCGACGGTCGCACCGCGGTCCTCAGAGTATCGCCCAAACGCTCCTTGAGCCCTGCCAGCCTTGGTGCTGTGACCGCTGCCCCGTCCCGGCGCCTCTGTTCACCCTTTGGGTGAAGAACCTTTGTGTAATACCCAGCCCAGACTCCCCTGACTCCGCTTCATGCCGTGTCCTCGAATCCTGTCACCGCTCTGTCGTTGCCACGTCCAGCCCGGTTCCTGCACCCGGCTGCTTTTGCGCTTCCACATTGCTGGCGCAGCAGAGCAAGCAAAAGGGGGGCTCTGACCCACGCGCGTGTTTTCTCTCCGGTGCTCGCGGAGAGTCGGGCCATTTAAAAACTTGACTTACGAACCGGGGAGTTTTTAAGTGCGTTCTGCTACTTTGTTCTTGTGTTGCTTTCACGCTCCCCTTTCGTGCACCCGTTCAAGCAGCCGAGTTCTCCCGGCACAAAAGCTCGCGAAAAGTGAATCGCAAGAGCGCAAACCTCTGTAAACTTTAAACCCACATTTTAAAGGGGTATGTGCTACGCGTGACAGAGCTATTTGCATGCTCATCCACTTCAGGATCAGAAACAATTTCTCAAAACTTAAGCAAACAGGTACAATTTAACACTGTTTGAATAGCAAATACCAGCTTTTGGACGCACCAGGGAACACTTGTGATTGATATGTAGCATTAAAAGCAGCGCACAGGGGAAAAAATGAGGCAAGCCTCTTCAAACAGTGGATGCACTTGAACACATCAGGAGCCACTCATGCATATTCAGCTCAGGGGAAAAGGGTAAATTCATTACATAAATTACCTGTTGCAGATTGTTTGCTCGGTTCCCCTCCTTTGCAGTGGGAAGCAGGGACTGAAGTGGGGGAGGGATGTTGGGCCCGGTGGAGATGCAAAGGAGATCAGGAGGCAGCAGCAGCAGCTCCCCCGTTTCAGAGCCTGCAGGAGGGTGCAGTGCAGTATTTGCCCTGCGGTGTTTTAATGATGGGCCTGGTATGACCCATGAATATGGAGAGCACAAAGTGAGCGCTAAGGACCAGCGTAAGAGCTGCTGAATGGAAAATCCTGCCAAAAACTCAAAGCAGACGAAAAAGCAGATCTAGCCGAGTCTGAGCAAGGAGGCTGTGTGTGTGTGTGGGTGTCAGGACCTGTCAAAAACAAAATGGGGAAGCGGATGTAAGAAGCAACAATCCAATCTATTCTGATCCATTTTTATTTATATACTGCTGACGGGAAGCCCTTGAAATGCTTTTTTTCTGCTTGGGTAAAATCCAATTCAAAGCATTTATGAAATTCAAGAGGAAGCAAGAGGTGATGCAGTCCCTTCCCATGTGCCCCTGAGAAAGAGGAGCCAGCAGGTTTGCAAAATCCATCACTAAAGGACAAAAAGAAAGGTAATACAGAGAGAAAAAAGGAAGACTGAATCTCAGGCTGGGTGGGCAGAGCAGCGGGGATACAGCAAGTCCTATGTGAGAAGTAATAGCAGGGTAGCAGTGGACTGGACAAAGCACCAGGGAGAGGCTGTAAATTGTAGTGAGCTCCTGTGTAATGTCATATATCAAACCTCTTTTCTGTGCAGACAAGACCTACCCAACCACACACAAATAGGTGTGAACAGCAGCACAGAAAGAGTCTGGAGGCAAATCAGGAGAGCAGCTGCTTAACACAGTGTTTAATTCAACTACAGAGCCAGCAATCTCTATCCAGCTGCATGTCTCAGCCCCCTCAACTGGCTGGTGGATACCAAACGACACCATTCCCAGACAGTGGAATACCGGACAAAATATCACGCTCCATGCCAGTGAAATAATGGACACAATTCCTTCTCTCTCCAGAACAATGTTTACTGGATACATTCCATAACCTTTCACTGGCTCATTTTGGTGGTTCTGATGTCAGGATGCTTTTAGTTTAGCAAGGGCTGCTCTCAGGCCCCTGTGACCAGCAAGCTCAGCTTGGGCTGCTTTGCATTGGCAAGTTACAGCCAACGAAAACAAAATCACACACAGTATTTTTTCTCTTCTAACAAAAGGAGCACTACTACCCACTGCTGCCCAGGCACGGGAAGATTTAGATGGAGGGCCTTCTTCCCACACAGTCATTAAGACAAGATTTTTCATAGGGTGCAAAAAGCAGCACCTTGTGGTGAGACAAGTCATGCATGACAGCATGGCAGAGGCTTTGCAGTTAAGAAATGTGGTAACTGCTGGTTTGGAAAATGCCTTTTGGCTTACCCAGAGCCACTGCTCAAGTCAACACCAATGGGAAAACCCTAATTGGGGTTGGGCTGCAGAGAGGTCCTGTTTATATTAAACAGGATGGTGGCACTGCCACTTTCAGTCATTTTGCTCTGAAATGGC